TGAATTGCTAGTATTTTGACATGTGGATGTACGTGTACCATGTACGTACATGACAAAATATGCACTGAATTCAAAATGAAGGCTAGCATGGCTATAATTTGCACAGAAATTTTGCTTTAACTGAACTGAAAAATCTTTTGTCCTGCACACTTCTTTTATTACATGCTCATGTACATTTACCTTGAAAGGCAACGATTCACTCCAAGTCTTGAACTGAATAAATGGGGCTGTTACCTGGCTCCACTGAAACCTGTATGTGTGGACAAGTGTTGAGAACATGTATGTGGAGAATTGTTTTTATTTTGTACTTTTTTCAACTGACGTACAGACTGTACCTTCCACGCACCAGCATATTGATTTTCCCATTTTAAAGTACAACTGAATATTTCTTTTGATTGAAGCAGACAGTAACTAAGGAATGTGAGGCTGTGGTATACAGTATATCTGTTTCCTAACTTTCAATTTTCCATGCACATGTAGTTTCCATGCAGTCTTGTTTCAGAAGAATTCTGTTAATGGGAAAAAATTACTCTTCAGGTGTGATGAAGTCCTGACACAATATTATTCAAGTTGAACTAACTTGTACATATACATGTACGCATGTACTGCAGAGTAAAGTTCAAAGTTCAAGACAAATGTATTTATCCATGGTGCAGGGCTTGAAATTGCCAAAAAATGTACTTGCGCTTTGCGCAAGTTGGCATTTGAAACAACTTGTGCAAACAAAATTGAACTTGCGCTAATTTTTTAATCCAGTGTATGTATTGACAAATATGAAATAAGGCTAAGCTTATTGTACTTTTCAGATGTGGGCTCACATGTTTCTGCATTATTGTGCATTCCGTGTTCATGGAGTTGGGATTTTTTGTTTTATTAATGTACTGGTTGTCATTATGAAATATTTAACAGGAGCAAACAATACCGGTTCTTTTTCAACTTGCACACAATGCAAGCTTGACTTGGCATTTAGTAGGATTTCACTTGCATTGCACAAGCACTTCAATGGCAATTATGAGCTCTGATGATGGATGGTCCATGTCCAATTTTTTTCGTACATACACATCTACATGTACATGTACCTATTGTATTGTTCCCAATAAGACGTGCTTGTTCAATTTGCCAAGTGTTGTTTTGCAGTGTTTGACTCAAAATATCCACAGAACGCGTTGGGTTTCTCATTATTAAATATGTACATGTATACATGTACTTGTGCAAGTTGCAGCGGTTGTTTTGACTTGCACAGTTTTAGGCCTGTGTATTGACGGGTATTTTTAGAAGTTGGTACCCATTTTTGTTACATATTGGATACCTGGGTACCCGTAAAATTTGAGATTTATTAAGTAAATAGATTGCCATGCCCCCATCAATAACATTGAACAGTACTGATTGATCTCGCCACAACACCAAAACACTGACTGACTTGGAGTGGAATTTGTACTTTGTTTTGAAGAAAATGCTAGTTCCATCTGTAAGAGAGAGCAAGAAAGGAGGATACAGATTCCTTTAGTGCACGGTGAACATATTAAGCAGCAAGTGCCAACCAATGTCGCTTTTTGTGCAGCCTGCAGGAATTAAACCGTGTACCTGTACATGTATTAAACATTGCACTTTCTACTCATGGTTGCCAAAGGTAAAGGATATAATAACTAACTTCTGTAACCAAGTTTTGAGTAACTGATTTTTATCATTTTAAATGATGGGCGGCCATCAGGGCAAAAAAGACAAAAACCTTTAAATCAGAAATTCTAAGGTCGCCGTTTAAAAAGTTATTCCTGATAAATAAAAAAAATACTTAAAAGAAAAGAAACAGGAAAATAAATTATTAGAAAAAAAAGAAAAATGGAAACGAAAAAGAAAAGCACAAAAGAATCAGTGTTCTTACCAGCTGTTTATGTTAGCGTAGGGGGTGAGCTCCTATCAGGGGGGAAGGGGAAAGCAAGCGGGGGACTGGACATTATTTAACACTTGGGGGCGCTGTTCAAACACGTAACACATGTTTAAGTATATGTTCTGAGAGCTAGCTATAGGTGTAAGCCCCGGGCAGTCATCATATTTATCAACAAGACATTAAACACAGTTTGCTCCTTTTTTCATTTTTTTTGGTGTAAAAAAAGAGACATTTTTAAAGATATTAACAGTACACATCGCCCTTCATTTGGAAGAACTCAAGTCTTGTACATGTTGGTGGCCGGGTTCAGTGAAATAATGTATTTGTTGAAAAACTGTGTAATCTACTGTGTGGCACCAGCAAAATTGCGCTTGGCAAACAATTGAAAAATATCCAAAAATAACATCAAATTCATGCATTAGAAAAGAAAATATGTACAGGAAGAAGTAAATGGAATACTGAGAAATGAATCTGGAATTTCAGCCGCTTCTTTTTAAAGACATCCTGCCGGGGGCATTTATAAATGTTGTTTCTGCAGGGCTGGAGTACTTTTCATTTTTTTCTGTTTTCCAAATTGTTTACAAATTTACATCTTCATTTGCTGGACACTGACACCCACAAGAAGGACTGTCTGGAGTACATGTATTTCAGCCAGGCCTGCTGCCTTGTACAAAGAGCTCAGATTGTCTGGTGAAGCTTCGGATTGTCAGGTGAAGCTCCCTCGTTTCCTTGATTTCTGATTTGTATTTCTCTTGTCTGTTTCCAGTTTTGTTTTTTAGTGATTAAAGTAATAAATTTAGTTTTGAAATGATTTGCTTGTGCATTTATATTTGTCAGTTGTATTTATGTAAATTTGTTGGTTTTATTTGTCATTTGTATATTTTTGATTTGATTTAAAATTTTGCTAACATTGTCTTTTTTGCCCCAATGGCAGCCCATATTAAAATAACATTTTATCAACAACTGAAAACTCCATAAATTTACAGGACATTGATTGTAAAGTGACTTGTTTGTAAAATGACTTGTGATTTTGGTTTTTGAAGTGTTATGCATATCTGTATAATTGTGGAAATTTTGGGTACAGATTGTGGACCTACCCATTGGCATACATTATACGGTCAGCAAACTTGTTTTTGAAAAACGTGCTCTGATTAACTGAGATAATCTTTAAATGACATTCAAGTCTTTTTGGCAGTTCACGAGGACACCAAAATCTTCAATGATCCAAATTTAATCTGTGTATATAGAAGATTTTTAGTCACATGTTTTATGAAGGTTAGCGTTCATTACTCAGATGTGCGTGGAAATGCATGCGTATTCGAAGTTTCTCAACGTTCTGGCATAGATGAAATTGCCAATAGAAATATACAGATTCAAAAATGTACGCACCTCCACAGACCAGTACGCTTCCTGAAATGCCTTTGCCAATAATGTTATGTCACGTAAAGAAATCTCTATTGAAATGGTATTCAAAGCAGTGCCAACCAATTAATGATGACACAAATTTGCACTAGTCCCGTCAATTGGTTCGTTGGTGAGGCTGCACTTGGCATAGCTGGTTGACGGCGTATAGTGATATGCACCATACTTTGATGATGAGGGTACCACTTCCAAAAAACCTGGGTTTTTTTGCTAATTATTAAGATGATCATTACAGAAAGGACTTATTTTCACCCAGAAAACTGTAAAGTAAGATTTTCGTTTTATTATTGTTTGTAGAAGACGCTGACAAAACAGCAGCAAAACATGACACAAAAGCTCGCCTATAACAGTAAGCGATTAAACTGGATATCTTTAGTTTGACCGCATAATATTACGTGTGATACTGCACCGTGCACTACCATCAAGAATGCCTTTCTGGCTAAGACAGAGATTGTTTGTGGGTCATTCTGCGAATGCAAAAAACCCAAACACATCGACCATTGTTTTTCCTGTAAACCTGACTTCTTTTACCAGTACCCCCCCCCCAAAAAAACCCACTGGAATCAGGTATTGACATGGGGGGGAGGTGCCTGGCATAGGCCTACCTATGTGTAACGTTATTAAATGTAATTGATGATAATGGACCTGTTCTTTGGTCACTGAAACCTTATAATGGTGGACTGAGCTGTTGAGTCTGAAGGATCTTGTTTCTCTCTGTAGTATGGTCTTGATGGTTGGTCTGGCGTTCTGCAATGGCTAATCAAACCTACTTTTATCTGTGAGCAGTATTGACACTAATTATCTGGGTCAACAAAGCTGTCACTTTTCTGGAATTTGTCTTGAGAACTGGGTTGGTGTAGGCATAAATGTTAGATCCCACATGTACAGCTGACCCAAATGTCACAGTACATGCTAACTGTGTTGACAAATTCACAGACTGAAGTTAAGAGTGATAACTCTTCTGTTGAATGTGCAGCCTCTAAAGAGGGACTGTGCTGGCATGTGTGACAAGTTGAGGCATGACACCTATTATCGGCAGCTCCGTGGCCCTGGCCTAGTGTGATATCCTGTACGTTTTGTACTGATCACACATGACCGACTGCTCGTTAGAACACTGACCGGTGGGTGGCATTGAGTCAGTGACTGCATGAAGGGCTTTTGACATGTTCCTTGTTAGCTTGTCAGGTGCATCATACTTGTACAGACTACAGTAGTATTTGAAGAATCTTTACGATGGCTAGATAGTGACATGACTCAATTGTTGTGTTAAAAAGCAAATAATATTCATTGCAACTTTCTGACCTTTCCTGTTTAGGATGAATGAATTTATTTACCCACATGGGACAGTTTTAAACATTTATAACTTCTTTATAATTGGACTTAAATAACTGTTGTTGCTTTACCCCAAATTTTCCTCAACTTTTAAACCCATGCACTTTTGGTAAAACAGTGAGTTTCTTTGAAAAATATTTATGCTTTAGAAACATAATGTATAAAAACTATTTTTGTACCTAGGTTCCGGGACTTGTTTTTATGCAGCAGGCATTATAAACTCATAGCCGGCATTTTCAAATGTGGATAGACAGTCACTTGATGCATTTTGACCAATAGGAATAGAGAAACTGTCCCAGGTGTTCATGAATCGTGAATTATACACACATGGAAAAAATCTCACTCTTTATTATTTCAGTTAGTGTGCTGACCTGAGATCTCAAAGATGCAGCAGCATCAGCAAGGTGGTTATCCTCCTGTGTCAGGGGGATATCGGCAGGGAGGAGCACCTCAGGGCTATCCTCAGCCCCAGGGACAGGTTGGTGGATATCCTCAGTCCCAGGGACAGGTTGGTGGATATCCTCAGCCCCAGGGACAGGTTGGTGGATATCCTCAACCCCAGGGACAAGATGGTGGAGCTATTTCTGCAGCAGCTCAGGTACTTGAATATTAAAAGGATAGTTTACCCCTTACGTACATGTACATGCATGGAATTGTCATTGGTTTGTACCACATGCTGATGTTACAACTGCATTGTTACAATTGCAATTATTTATAATTACAATCATTTATATCTTGTAGTTAGCCATTGTGTGAAAAAGTGATATTTTTAAAAGCTGAATTTAATACGGTATTTGAAATAGTTTGAGTGTGTTAACTACACAAATCTGATTGAAACAAAAAAAATCTGAAATTTGAAACAGTTTGTCACCAAGTAAATACTAATGAAGACAAATTTTTCAGAAATATTTTGCATAAGTGAATATCACTGCTTCACTTGAGGGTGTTGAAATCTTCATGAGCATAAAACCGAAGTGATTTACATAAAAGTTAAAAAAACACCAGAAAAATCAAATGTAGGTTACACCATTGGTAAAATATTAAAAATGGGACTGCCACATAAACCTTGAATAGCTTACAAACATGTACATGTCTACTTGACAGAACGTACATGAAAATAATTTGATGGAAAGTACATGAAAATAACAGCCTCAGTCTGTAAAATATTTCCACCCAGCATGCTGCTGTTCTTGAAACACAATAGTTGGCCGACCATCATTTAAAAGTTTGCTTCGTTTTAAAACCACACGTATCTGCTAAGGAGCATTGATCTTTTGTGTGGTATGTACAGTTGTAGGAGTCTGAATGCTAACAGCAGCAAAAAAATTTAAATTCACAGAATGCATCGATCGTAAACAGAAACAAGAAAAATAAGTGTAAGGTATAAAGTAAAACAGAAATTGAATCAATTTAAATTTCATTTGCAAAAAGGGATTTTCTTAACACAGAAATGTTGCGATCTAACTGTCATCCCATGGTCCAAACTATCGGCTGTGTGTACATGCTTGGCCAACATGACTACCACTTTCAATCTGCACAGTGAGAGGATTCTCAACAAAGTTATGCAGGATTTCAGTGCTCCCTAGGGGGTTAGGGTTAACAAAAACTGTGATTTCCAGATGTTAAACCGCCTTTGTTACTGGATGTTATTTCCTCTGTGCCCATAATTATTAATTAGTCAACTGAGAATAGATTTTAGACTTCCATTGATGTAAACTGATGTTCAAGTGTGGTCCTGAAGCATAATCATACATGCATATACTCATTGTGTCATGGTCAGGAGTTGGCTGCATTGACTTTGCTGCTTAATGAATTTAGCACTAAATCCACAGTGCTACATTATTGAAAAGACATATTACTTCAGGTAAAGCTTCTGATGACTCTTGACCATGGGAAAACTGCTTTTTTTAAAGGGCAAGAGCACTTGTCATGCCTGTTCATCTGCAGATGGACCCTGTGTGTAAGTTTTTCGCTCACTTAGAATGCCCCGTAGTTCATGGATTTTTGCCCAAGATACATGTAAATTACAAGGCCTTTAATTTGACAGTTGGAAAAGCTGCTTAGTTTTCTTGATTAAAAAAAAAAAAGCTAGCTCAAACATTAAACAAATCATTGGAATGAAAATTCCCCTAAACCAGTTAATCTTATAAAAACACAGCCAAAAACCAATGGTGTAACCTCCTGTGATATGACATGGTATATTATTCATGCAACACCTTATTCACAGGAAGGCCATTTTGATTATGTTCCCAGAACCTTATTCAATGTAATCTATTGAATGGGGGTGTTGGACTATTTTGGGTTCAGTGCCTAACTTTTAAAATAAGGGAATAAATATGTGCTTGAAGGAAAATGAACGTGACTTATGAGGGCATTACCAGTATTTAATCTCCTGAACCAGCCTTAAACAAATGTTTAAGACCACCTCAGGTCATTGACTAAAAAACCTTTTTTTCAGTCAGAGTCAAAAGAAGTCAATTACGATACATGTGGATTTCCAACAATTTTGTTCTAGAATTTTACTTTCATTTTTCTGAACACCCCTGTCCATTTTATTGTATATCCCTTGTGCAATTTGTCCAAAAGTATCTCCATATATGGACTTGGCGTCATCTGGAGCATTCTGCATATGCCGCGTAAAACACAGCATGTTGACTGATAGGGATGGATTATATATGTGCTGTCTTGTATCCACGTGTCAGGGTGTTTTTTTACGCAGCAGGCATTTTCAAATCTCAGCGGGCATTACCAAAATTAATGTTAATACATGGTCACATTGTGTATTGTTGAATAGGGAATCTGTAAAGGGAAACTGTCTGAGGTAATGTAAACATGATGAATGTGGCTTAAAACATTTGGGTATAATTACATGTACATTGTAATTGCAATTATTCAGCATAAATGGTATTAATTCACGATAACTTGTATTTTCAGGTTCCCAAGTAAAAGAGTTATTGTGCTTGTTTTCAATTTAGTATTGCTGGCTCTTAAATAAGACTAGTTGAATTAAAGAAAACTGATGGTTGATTAGACATGCACATGTACATGCACACCAATTCTGATCTAAAACACATGTACATGAACTGGTACATGTAGGCCTCCCTGTGGCTTCCAATATCTAGTACTAGCAGCTACTAGTACCCTGTGGCTTCAAGTATCTGCTGATTGTGCAAATGTTATGCTTCTAGCCCCTTGTAGATGCCACTGCTCCACCAGCAGACAAGATGGATTCCATTTCAGGTTATGCCAATTTTGGTGCTCCACTAGCACCACCTGCCTATGATCAAAGTATGATGGAACCACCACAGCGTTCAGAATTGCCCAAGTAAGTGGTGAACAACATTGATGATGTTTATTTTTTTGTAAGCCATATCAAATATGATAACAGTAAATTTGGTAATGGTGGTACTGTAGGTATGTCTTAAATACAGTGTAGCAGTGTGATCTACATGTAAGACTGTGTTTTACGAGCCTAAGTGGTTTGTACAATCAATACCTACAGGTGTTAAGTAAATGCTCACACATCAAATTTCAAACTACACCCATGATGTTACTCCTTCATAAATGTGTGTACGGGTATACAGTGAACGTGTTCAACACTCACATTGTTATCATTGAAGTTTGACCCTACAAGTGGGAGATTTGTAAACCAAATATTTGCTTTTCTGAATTTGTGCTGGTTCGTATATATAGCCTTGATTTAAGACAAGTTGAAGGTATGGAATTACAAATAAAATGCACATGCTCCTTTTAACGCACTGCACATCCATTCTCACTAACTTAACAACATTTTGGTAGTATCTGTTGCTCCTTATCTGTTGATTTTATGCCCTCAAATGTAGAGATACAGCCACATCATTAAATTTGTGAGGTTAAGTTTTTCTGCAGTTCACACTTGCGGTATAAGAAGGAACTCAATAAGAGCATAGAGCAAGGACCGGTTGCCCATGCAGTGTACCCAATACACATAGAGCATTGCATGTGCAGTTTAACCAATTCATTTATCTTGTGTATCGGCTCACCCTGCTCTGCGTGCATTGAAGATTTCCTGCACTATAATTCAGTGTGTGACCAGAGTATTGTGTCATCGTGGAAACCTTTACTCTGGCCCTAACTGTAAGTTATGTATGCATGATGATCAGTGTGAGGCTCACAATATTGCTGCGTGGATATCATGATATTGTGGTACAGTACCTTAGAGCACTACATCTGCAATCTAACTGCACAGACTGACCGCGTTCTGAATGAAACGGCATGTCAGTGGTACCACTGACCACAGCATAAGGCATTTCCTGCGGGGAGTGAGCACATGTAGTGTTGGCCGGAACAAAAGATGGGTTGAAAGTTAACTGTGCACACTGGCCCGCCGCAGTCGTTTTAGTCCTGTCAGTGCTTCTTTCATGATCAATTCTTCCCAACTCACCCGAGAAAAAGGATTCAAGTTCATCTACCAGATTTCCGTGAATTCCATTAGGCTGGTCTACAGTCCAAGAGGCACCAATCCTCCTGCATCCCTGCCTTGTGGTGAATCGGATGCCAGACTACCATGTACTGACATCCGGTGCTCAACATGAAGTCAGTCAGATAGACGCTTGAGTGCTTGAGTCTGTGAAATAGAAAAACATGCATAAAACCTATGGAAAAACTGCACCTTAGTGAACTTAGATGGCCCGCGCCTGCATATTGCACGATGGTTTTAAAACCACATGCAGTAAGAATTCACTAATAATCATCAGAGAACATATTGGTTCACTTACAGACATTGCCGCTCCAGACGTTTCAGAAAAAAAAATAAATTGGCTTTAGAGATCGCCATTCCCTCCTATATTTGGAACACACTACAAATCCCCATCCACTTTCGTCATGGGCAATCATTACAGGCTAATTGCTGGCAGAAAGAAACAGTGTATCAAAGTAAAAAGTTTATTCACGATGGCAAAAGTAGATCTAATGTTAGAGGCTTTTCACTCTCTATTTGCTGACCACGGTGATAAATTATAGTGAATTGCAAACAAATATTACTGGGCCCACTTGTCTGGCGAAAGCTGCAGGCAGTAATCAGGCATTTTTGGAATGTTTACTATTGTTTGTCTGACTGGGCGACAGTGTTCATTGAGCACTTTGAAGTGCCAGAGTTCTAACTCCTTTGTCCTTCCTCTATGGTTAAACTCTGAAGTGGGCAATTTGAATGAAATAGAATTAAATAATGATTAGAAATCCTTTGCATCAAATGCACTTACTGAATTCAAAAAGCTGATTGAAATCAAAACAAGTGGACAGAACATAAAAATCTTGCCAACCCAGATTTTGTGTAACACGTGCATTTGTACTTCTTTAATACTAGGACCTGAAAGGCTCACAGGGAGGGGGGTTTGCTGTTTAAAATGTGGAAAACCTGCAAACATGTCCAATTATTAAAAAAATTAAATATGTTGATTTAAATCAGTGATTTAAAAAAAGTAACTTTTTGATTTAAATCAAGGTGATTTAAATCTGATAACCCTGCCCATCATTATCATCCCCTCACCTAATTGAATTTGTATTTGAGGTGGTAAAAGTTATTTCCTTTTCAATTACATAACCACCATTTGTATATGCTTGTATGTTAAATAGTATGCCCACAGTGACAGTGGAGCAGGCAAGGGAGGCCCTTCTAAGTCACGTTGCTGAGAACTGTTGTTATGGGAAAAAGGCTGCTCAAGAAATGGTCTTCAATGATATCAGTCATTCTAGTGCATTCCATGTAAGTAATGTACACTTAGATTGTTACGAATGTAGAAGTGCTGCATATATTTTCCATTCTGCTCAGCTTTGCCATCTGTTAACCACTCCTTGCCAGGGATTCCAGATCCGGACACGTATGCTTTATATGCGTGGCCGGGGTCTCTGAACTCGGACAAAGGGAACAGGGCCTTGTAACAAAAGACCAGGCTGCTGGGAATTACCAACATTTTTTCACTTTCAATAGTGGAGATAATCCAGCCTTGTTGTGGAACAGTATACCATAGTTTGGGGTATTTAGAGCGAGCGGATTACCACCGGGGACAAAAGCGCTCCACCACCGCAGCGATGAGCCACACAGCACCGCTGCATGCTAATCTGGCCCCTATTGAAAAGAGGTCAGCAGCACACTGAGCCAGATTCGTGAACAAAAGAAAGTTATATAACACCGTACAATAGAGGGATCCCAATACGACGCTTTTAGCGTCAATCTGTGCACTTCCGCATTTGAAAAGGAGGCTGTATGTGTCAGCTTCAATTCTTAATACGATCAGACGATTGAAAGTAAGGAGTCAAGACACAAAATACATAAAGGTATGTTAAATTCAGACTTTTCAGGCTGCAAATTTTGTGGAAGAGTCTTTCAGGATGACTCGACACGTGAAATCAAAAGAAAAAATAAGGACAATTGACCGCGAACTAACGTACCTGCGATGGTCGTGTATCTTGTACAGTGGGCGTACTTTAAACTGAAGTGGTGTCACACTTGCGAACCGGATACTGCATGTACTGTGTCGACTCCGCAGGCGAGCGCGACGAAGTTCAACACGGAGAGCCTCGGTTTCGATGCAGATATGTGCAGACGGCGCTTATGTGAAATCCCTCTATCTGGGCTCTTTTTACAAGGCTGCAGGCCTCGCTGAAATACTCAGGCGTCAATAGATTTTGTCTGTCAGGCTAGAGTGGCACCAGACAGTCCTTCACGTGTTTGTAAGTGTTCAGTGAATGAAGATGGGAATTTTTAAAGAATTTTGAAAACAGAAAAAAAATGATCAATATCCCGGCCCAGCATCATCAACATTGATAACTGCCCTTGGCAGCAAGTGGTTAATCTTACAACTGCTCAAATGTAACCCATGCTGTGAAAATGATTCATAAAGTCATTTTTCAGTTATCATGTTTCAGCCTAGAAAGTGCAAACTGAGCTCCATGTTTTGATGGATCAGTCATCTTGGCATCCTGATCAAAATGAACACTTTGTGGCTGAAAAATTTTGACTGTTCCTATTGATTTCCATAGTGCAATATTCCTATAAAGTGATTCTAACCACTTTTTACTCAGTTTTACAGCGCAGATAACATAATAAACATTTATGTTTTATACAAGTTTTAACTAAAAATTGCCGTTATTGTTTCTCACTGTGATGTAACTCACAAAAGAAAATTTGGATTCAATTAGTGCTTTTATGGATTTTTTTGTGTCATGTACAGTCCTGTAAATGATACATTCTGATTTGCATCTTTGTATTGGCACTGCCAAATTGCATGCCAATTCAGAAATTTCTTCATCTGTTAAAAGGACTACTATTTTGAATTTATTATTTCTGTAAAATCATTTTGTGTGATGGGCCCAGTGGAACAGCTGCATTACAAGAGATTTGAAAGTTGTGTGGTTGAGAAAAACAGTGTTGGTTGCTTCTGGTGGCATCATGCATGAAGTAATGCTTAAGATGTCAGATATTGTTTTCAATACCGTATATATCTTCCTTCAGTTAGTGAGGTTGTGAAATATTTAGGTTCCAGAGAAATGTATATGTACATGTACCCTACCGGCACCAGTTTGCAGCAGACTGGTGATGAGGAGTGCATACTGCTCAAAATATGGAGTCTACTTAGCTCTTTTCAGAATCCTGTGTACCGGTACTTACAAAAAAGATACTTCCTACTGGTGGTACTGCTAGGTACATGTACTTCATAGTAGCATTGTAGCAACATCAATAGTAAGACTGTGCTTACCACACACATGGACTAATCCTTCTGTGGACTGGACAGTTAGGATGTACAGTCATTTAGTTTCGTAACACAACTGTATGCTGTGTTGCACCCAATTAATGAAAATTTTTATTATTGGTTTATTTAAAAAGACTTGTAATCACAAGGGTGAATTATAGTCAATTTCATGAATACAAATAAATACATTGGCATAAAATCCATTTGAAATCACCCCTCCTCCAAAAATAATTACCCAAGGTTGGAGAAAAATAACACTGGCTGAAACCCAAAATATACATGTCCTGAACATCATTTAAAGAAATAAAAGGATAATAACAAAATTACGGCTCCAGGATGGATTAAAAATCTGTGAAAAAGTAACGTGACAGGATTAAGAAGAAAGAAAAACCAAAGATAAAAGGTATGTTTACTTAGATACAAGAATTATAAAAAGCCAATTACAGGCCCATTGCATGTCATAAGGACAGAAATGCAAGTCTTGTCACAAGCTTGTCCACAAAACAAAGGGCAAACTTAAAAAGATGTGTTTTGGCATTTTCCTAATCCACAGATTAGATATCCAGTGTACTCTCGTGTTGTATCTACATGTACTTCAAAACATGATGCTTTGCGGTGATCATGAAACCAACATGTCCCTTGTGACATCTAATGTTTGTTAAGTTGTACAAGTATTCAAAAACAATTCAGTGCAAAAGTAAAAATGTGTCATTCTTTTACTGAGCACATTATTATGCAAAAATTGTAAATGAAATGTACTTGTTCACAAAAAGTGACAATGGTACCAACTTTTTCCAATTTAGGTTTTGTATTGAATTGCCAAGAAGGAAGTATGTAT